GGGGTGCGACCAAATTTGGAGGGCGGAACGGATTAACCGGATTTACATTGAACCCTATGGGTAAATTTGCGTCGGGTTACAACCAACTCGGAATACGCCCAGAGTCACGGAATGCATTAAGTTCGTATCCCAAGGTACCACTGTAGAGCTGTATTTGATAGGGTGAAGCCGAGGCAGTAGCAGACTGCAAAATAAGGCCTAACTTTTGTCTCACTGCTTGCTCTAAATAGGGCCCTTTCTATATTCATTGAAGAATTGAGAATCCCAGATGAACTACAGATAGTTCAAGCATCATGCTACAGTTATGTCAGGGATTAACAGTGAGATATTATGCAACAACTTTATTCTGAATGCAAAACCTCTCTGAACGGAGAAGCTGTTTGTCAGATATACACAGATGTGTGGCTTAAGGATTTTTTTTTGTTCAATCCATGGCATGTTTCTTGCCTTTGCTCCTGCTACTATATTCCTCCTTTAAATGTGCCTGCACATCTGATGTTTAAGGTGGTATCCTTTAATTTCTCAGCCTTCTCCTTCTAAATTGGGCTTCCTTCGTGGTCATAAAATTTCCTCAACTTTTTACAAATGAAGGCAACTGGACTCTGGATTCTAAATTGCACTGACTCAAATTATTTCATTTTCTATTTAGATCATATTTTAGTAGCTTTTGTAGAGATACTGAACATTCTGTATGGAGAGATATAAATACCGTATGGTGTTGCAATACCATTTATTGCTTTGCCTTTTTCTGAGCAAAGGTTTCATTTCTGTGCTTTCATAAAAATTATTAACCAGCCTGTATTCCAGATTTTGTTACTTTATATTCTTAAAGGAAGGTTGGACATTGTTGGCTGACTAGCTGTAAACAAAATGCAAATCCATGCATTTCACCATTATTTATTTCCTTGTATTTAAATATTTGGAATTGTTTGGACTTGCATGTCTTTTTATGCATTGTCTTCAACATCTCATTTAAGATAAACCTTGCTTTCTACTTGTTTCTCTTCAACATTAAAACATAATTTTAGTAGAACTTAAATCCTTCTGTTGGAGCAGAATTTCACTTAAGGTTTCTAGGCCAGGTGTAGACAACCTATAAACTATGTCTGTAGGTCCTCTTTGTCCATACAGCCTAAATTTGGTGTTTCCTTGCCCAAAAAACCCTGTATATTTTCTACCATTTTTTATATGACAAGCAGATTAAAATGATTTAAGCCTTAGTAGTGAATTGCAGTATGTAATAGTAATTTCCGTTTATTACATGTAAAGTAATACATATAAATTATTAATTTCAAATTTCTCCAAATGAGGAAATCCTGCCCTTATCCAGTCTGCATTATGATCATGCCTTCTGTGTCATTTTCAACTCAATATAGGACATCCTTAGCACAATGCCCATTAAGGGGATAAAAATAGTTGTGAAAAGATTGGCATGCAATCTGGTTTCAGGCCTGTTTTCCACGTGTAAATAGCTTTGGCTATGCTGATATGACTTATGTTGAGGAATAGATGAAGGAATGCATCTGTTCTGATGGATCTTTCCAAAACTTGAATATGCGGTTAAGCATGTTATCCTTTTGATTTACTTGATTGATATAACACTTAGAAATGATGGTATTGTGGATTCAGATCTTTCTTGGAGGGTCTGCTCTACAGGCAGTGTTAACAGGCTCTCATAGAAGAGGCCTGGGCTGTGTCAGCATTATCCAGATGTTATGCAATTCTAAAGTCAATTGAGGTGTGTTATGCCAGTATTGCATTGGTTGCCATCTCTGAGCCTAATTCAATCCTACTCCCCAAACAGGTTACCTGGAGGACCACCTTTCTCCACTGGAGCCTGCCATCATATTAAAATAATCTTATATCCCCAGCTTGTATAGCCTTTAGGGAGACCAGTCAGTTTGATGGGTATCCAATAGCTTGGGTAGTTGTTTGAAGTATGCCAACTTGACTAACATACGTATCCTTTGAAGACCCATTTGTTTTGCCCTGTTTTTTCCTGAAATAATGGTTGCTCTTTTAAATGATCTGTTTGGCTGGGAACAATTTTTAAAGCTATTCTCCTGGTAATTAGAATCAGGTAAAAGAAATGTATTGGTTATGGTCTTATGGCATATTTGATATGGTACATCCCTAGGCCTTTAAAAATCAGGTGGTGTATGTGCACGCATCAACACCCACAATATTTATTTCAAGCGCTTATGTGCTGCTTTAACCATTCCAGCCCCAAATGGCTTATAGTAAAATATCATATTAGAAGATACCTATAAGGACGTGGAAGTTTTAAGTTTTTAAGTATCTAGAAATATTTGCAATAAATCAGTTTTAATAAAGAAATGCTAAAGCAGGATGATATATTCTCAATCCTTTAAATTGGATTCTTGAGCATATTTTAGATTATAGTGCTGGGTAATGATTATATGAACAAGGAAGAAATGTCCTCATAATAATTAACATAGCATATAAAACATACACAGGTAGTCCTTAACAACCACAACTGGAACTGGAATTTAGGTAACGAAGTGGTGGTTAAGTGAATCATGTGACCAGACCTGATTTTATGAACTTTTTTGTGACGGTCGTTAAGTGAATGACTGCAATTAAGTGAATCATGTTGTTAAATGAATCATGTGGTTCCCCACTGATTTTGCTTGCTGGAAGCCAGCTGGGAAGGTCGCAAATGGTGATCATATGACCCAGGATGCTACAACTGTTGTAAGTGCGAGCTGATTGCCAAGCACCTGAATTGCAATCACGTGACCGCAGGGGCACTGCAACAGTCATAACTTCAGGTACTGGTCATAAGTCACTTTTTTAGCACTGTAGTAACTTTGGTTGCTAAAAAAGCAGTCATTAAGGACTACCTGTACTTACACATGTAACATTATTTTACTATGTGTGTTTAATTAATGAATAACTGGAGATACCTCTGTTATGCTTAATGGAAGGCTAAGTTCCCTATTTTCCCTTCTCCCATATTCAGTAAACTTGAGTTTGCTGTGGCAGGAGATATTAGTTGGTACTAATAACCATTCTGAGATACTGAAGAGCCTTTAAAGCTAGATTCATAGCAATAATCTGCTGGAGTCTCTTACCTATCCTCTGATGTGAAGTACAGTGGTACCTCGGGTCATGAACGCTTCTATTCACGACCAATTTGGGTCACGAA